TATTTGTTTACATCGCAGCACAACACACGCGCACAAATCCCCGTGATTGAGTGCTGGAACTCACAGCCCTCATACAATTCTTCAGCCCACAGTGATGTACGCCAGCGCGGATGCGGCGAGCAGCAGCGGGGCACACACCCACGCAGAGCTGCTGAGGCTGCCGTCGATTTTTCGCAGACGCGACGGTGCGCGGGTGGTCGTCGTGGTTGGCGCCTCTGTGGTCGTAGTACTTGGTGCCTTTGGCGCAGTGGTGGTGATCGTGGTTGGTGCCTTTGTTGTGGTGGTCGTTGTGGTTGTCGCAGTTGTCTTAGTGGTTGTCGTATTTATTGCATTTGATTTGTTATTGTTGTCATTTGCGTTATCGTTCTCATGACGATCTGCCTCTTCCTCAGTAGATTTCTCATCTTTTTCCCGATCCTGTGCCTGGCTGAGATCACTTTGTGACTCTACTGTTACTTTCCCTTCCTCACTTACCTTCGGCGGAGGAGGAAGTGTACTCTGTGAATCCGTTACCTGCATTGGTTTCTCTGGCCTATTATCCTTTGGAACGGAATCTTTTCCAGAACTACGAGCTATTTCTTCCATTGCTGCCACGCACAATAACGGGCAGCAACACAGGGCAAGCACCAGCAGGGCGCACAGCAGACGGCACGTCGTCATCATCGTGAGTGTGGTCGTTCAGTGGTGTGGAGCTGATCTGCACAGTGAGGGGCATGGAGAGCAACAGGGGAGACGAGAGGTGCGGCAGACACACACAGAGGGCACACCACATGAGGAGAGGGCAGCAGCCAGGCATGCACCGTACGCCGCACACCACGCACGACAAACACCTCTGCCGCAACACCAACACACAGATGGAGGAGGGAGAAGCAAACAGGAGCGGCACACAAGGCTCCACCGCATGTGCATACGGCGAGAGCGGTCCGTCGTGTCGGCATCCCTCACGGAGGGTACACACACACAAGAGGAGGTGCAGCGCGCACAGCAACACAAAAGGAATGTAACAATAAAAAAAGAAGATGTCCCCGCACACCACGTGGATTGTTGGTCCACGGGAAGGCTAGCCAATATTCATCGCAAAGCAGCTCAGTTGCCTATGGCCTTCGTTCATATTCAGCGCAAGGAATGGAAGAGTGCAGGAAACTATTTATTTCTGTTTCTGTTTGGATGTTGGCAGATGTCTTCATGCATTTTGTTTTGTCTTGCAGAGGGTAAACCTTCATGCCTGGGTCGTGTGTTGGGGGTTCCCGCAGGGTGCAGCATTATTTTTTCCTATTTTAAAGTTTTCGAGTGCCGGTGCAGCCAACAGTTCGGTTTGTGCTGTTCCTGCCTTTCGCTGGTAAAGTGCTGCAATAGATGTTTTTATTTCCTCCTTCGTTGCTGTGGCACCTGATTCCTCACCGTTTATTGCGGTGGAAATGAAAATATGTGAGTGGACACCCACACACCAGAACGCACCTTCGCTCCTATTTATTGCTGCATGGAAGGGCATGTGTGTTTGGTGGTGTCTCGTCCATATATTTTGTGGGTGTACATTCCCCTGCAGGCTGAGGGCGGGATGACGCTCCGTCGCGGTGCACTTCCCTCGCAGGCCGCCCACTGTGATTCATCATGCATCACCCCCTCACGTATTCCGTGGTGCCACACCGCTGATATCATTGCAGCCGCCGTGATTCCGCGTACTTCACGCATTTGATTGTGCCACAATACATCCGCTCGTGTGGCCGCCGCATCCAAACAGCGGTGCCCAACACCGTGAGCGGCAGTCCGCATCCCTGCATGTCCCAACGCTGTGGTGTTCGACTGTCAGCCAGGCGTCAGACAACAAGAGAGTCTTGTGCTGGCAGTACAACACACGGAGCTGCAGTGAATGACTCGGGCGGCGACGCATCTATTTGCCGCAAAGCAGTGAAAAGGAGTCGGGCAAAATAATGCCGGCTGCATTCACAACACCACATCCACAGCCAAAGCATGCGACGTGATGTGTGTTTCACTGCTGCTGTAAAATGCCTGCAGACGACGTCGCTAGTGGGGGCATGCCACCCATGATCAGCGGACAGACAATAATCGGCATGGGAGGCCACAAAAGGCAGCAACGACGCCAGCAGCAGGAGCAGCTCTCTCTCCCTCTCTGTTGCCTCCGAGAAGTAAATATTCCACCAGCCACAGCTGACTGCGCCACCGTGACGCTCCATGCATGTCGTGGCTGCGTCAACACACCCTGCTCCCTGCAGCGCCTCAAAAGATGCCCCACTCCGTCCACTAAGTGCATCGGTGTGGGTGGTGCCTGGGCTGTTCGTGAGGACCACAGCGATGTGAGGGTCACCGAGTCGCAGCATGTTTGTTGTGACGTTGTTGCATGGCACCTGCACACATACACACGCAGCGCCTGCATCCCTCCCTTTTGTGTTCGCCCTCCGCCGGAGTGGCCACACACACGGGCAGCAGCAAAACCACTTCACCCTCGACATTACAAAATCAGCACCGACATCCCTCGCGACACAAAGATCTCAGTTGCCAGCACGGGCCTCCTGCCGCTCTGCCATCGACGCTGAAACACGGCACAGTGCACGCACTTATTTTCCTCGTGTGCAGTCAGCCGTTTGCTTCACACCATTCTTCGACGGGCTGACGTCCACAAAAGCACGCCACAAAAAGCCACTGTGATCGCACACGCTCTTGCGATGAGCGTTGGTGCGTGCATGGATCCGCTGCTCACACGTGCTGGCAGGCAGCCTGCAGCCGGTGCCCTCGTGCCAGTCCATCGGCTCCAGCACGGAAAGGGAAAATGGCCCATTCCCGATGTACTTATTCCCACCAGCAGCACCAACACGCTGGTCGCCAGCCGTCATTCCTCAGCACATCCAGAAATGCTGAAAAGTGACGTGGAGCCGTCAGCCAGCAATGCCACAATCCCCGCACACATTTCGGCTCCACCAGAGAGGACACACAAATCAAAAACAACACCCTCCACATTTCATCCTAACATCATTCCGACACACCGCGGCACGCCAAACAGAAGTATTCGTCACTCAACGCACCTCCTCACACAATCACATAGTCCATGCACCACGCACGGCAGCAGCTCACACGCGGTCAGACAAATGTTCCCCGGATCAGTGGTATCCACGTGCTGCGGTGGGAAGTAAACAAAAGGGACAGCTGCCAAACCCCAAAAGAGTGCCACGACTGGCCGCAACTCAACGGAACGCAGCCACTCAAATGAATTCAGTCCTAATGCCCTCAGCCTCCCAACTTCTCCCACAAGAGCTGCCAATCAAACGTGACATCCAATAAATTCGCTTTGCAAAAAGAAGAAACCGCAGTGCTTCCTGCTGTCATCCGAGATGTTGTTTGTTGATTAATGCGGAGGCACTCACCTTCTCCTCAAAACGACGCTGTGCGCCTGCAACGCATACTTCAGAATCGCAAGTCTCCCACCAGATCGGGAAGCTCCTACGCACCTTCGTCACACACCACAATGCAAATGAAAAAACAATGCTTTAGTTGGACTGCGATGCGGACCGTGCCACGCCGCCATCAGCTGCGGCTGGGAGCGGAGGCCGGGGCGTCCCGGCACACCACGCGATACTCTCTGGTTGGGTGCTTCCACAGTACGTCGCACCGCGACAGCTGCACCGCATCGCTCGGCCCACGCGCATCAAAGAAGGATACTTTTGTCCACCTGACCGCCAATCCAGCAACGCTGCGGAGGATCATTGGGTTCCGCGCACCCACACAACACGAACGTCTTACACTTCTCCGATGTATTGAGGACGTGCGTGGCGCAATCTGATTGGAGGCCATTCCGCCGTCCATGCATGAAAAGCGGCGACATCGATCCCGCTTCCGAGAGATGCTGTTATTAATGGATTGCGCCGCGTATGTAATATTATTGGGATACCCCACAGCCACAATCGTGCCCCTCCTATTCAACATCGAATTTTCCTCTGGGACACTGTGCGTTGCAAAAAATGGAATTTATCAGCCACGCTTTGCCCAAGACGCCTCTGATGACGTCAAGCGCACGGCTCTTGATTCTATTTACTCCTCTCTGGGAGATTTTGATTTTGAATTATGGACAGACGTTTCTTCATCTCTCGCCGAACTCGCATCTGGATCCGCTGCACTATTGTATGGCTCCACCACGACAACTGATCTCCCTGTGGAGGTCCATCGTGCAGCAGCTGGCAGGCTCGCATGCCCATATAGAGCAGAGTGCCTTGCCACTGAAGATGGCATTAGACATCTCATATCTTTTGCCCGGAAACATCCCAATCGCCCACACGAATCCTGGTGGCAACGGACTCCCTGTCGGCAACTGAGGCATTCCGCGTCGTTCCACTGGCCGTGCGAGACTACGTCACTGAAGATAGTTGGATTATGCTGCTCTCCTTGATGCAGCGAGGTCACTCTGTAAACATCATGTTCTCTCCATCACACTGCGGTATCCCACGCAATGAGGCCGCTGACGAAGAAGCCATGATTGCACGATTCCTCCCGCAGGACTGCGGCCCAACCTGGCACATGGACTTTCTCGCTGCAGTCGGGTGACCGTACTGGAGGGATGCCCAGGAGAAAAGGAAGGGCGCGCACATCGCATGACAGGCGTTTGTCGGCGTGACGAGGACTCTATTCCTGGCACGACCCGGACATCTTGCCACGAGTGGCGGCTCTGCGCACAGGCAAGATGCGACTCCTGCCCACTCCTCGACATGCCTGCGCGTGCCCTTCGTATCACAAATAACCCTCTGTGTCGGTGGTGCCGTCCCTCCCTCACTGAGGAGAATGGCCCGCCGCTGCCTCCGCCGGAACCTCTTCCCGAAGTGAGCACCGCAACTCCTTGCCGACCAGCGAGCGGCGGATTGATGTCCTCCCGCCCAACCTGCAGCAGAGTGCGTTCTTTCGTCCACAATATGAGGGCACATGCCCGAAGTGCTCGGCCTGGCGTTCCGATAGTTTGAGAAGGCCTTGGATGCGGATGCCACAATAGCGCTAGCGTCTTCTTAACAGGCGCCTCGCGCACAGGTCGTCACAGAAAGTGCCAAGCATGCCAGCAGGCAAGACACGCAGGAAGCACAACCGCGGGTACTCGAGATGGACCACGAGAGACTCCGCTTCTTCCACTGCAGAAATGCCCCGTCGTTGGGAATTGGGAATGCGAGTGCTTGGGAGTGCCCCAGCCCGCACGACGGCACGTTTCGGACGGAATGCTCGCCACTTTTGTACGGACGGCCCTAGCGCTACTCACTCGTTATTGCAACAGCATACAGCAAAAATAGGATGAAATGTTGCTTTGCGATGAATATTCTCATCACTTCCCGTGGACCAACAATCCACGCGGTGTGCGGGGATCTCTCCTTTTTTATTGTTACTTTGCCTTTGTGTTGCTGTATGCGCTGCACCTTCTCTTGTGTCTGTGCGTACCCTCCGTGAGGGTTGCAGAGACGACGGACCGCTCTCGCCGTGTGTGCATGCGGTGGAGCCTTGTGTGCCGCTCCTGCTTGCTTCTCCCTCCTCCATCTGTGTGTTGGTGTTGCGGCCGAGGTGTTTGTCGTGCGTGGTGTGCGGCGTACGGTGCATGCCTGGCTGCTGCCCTCTCCTCATGTGGTGTGCCCTCTGTGTGTGTCTGCCGCACCTCTCGTCTCCCCTGTTGCTCTCCATGCCCCTCACTGTGCAGATCAGCTCCACACCACTGAACGACCACACTCACGATGATGACGACGTGCCGTCTGCTGTGCGCCCTGCTGGTGCTTGCCCTGTGTTGCTGCCCGTTATTGTGCGTGGCAGCAATGGAAGAAATAGCTCGTAGTTCTGGAAAAGATTCCGTTCCAAAGGATAATAGGCCAGAGAAACCAATGCAGGTAACGGATTCACAGAGTACACTTCCTCCTCCGCCGAAGGTAAGTGAGGAAGGGAAAGTAACAGTAGAGTCACAAAGTGATCTCAGCCAGGCACAGGATCGGGAAAAAGATGAGAAATCTACTGAGGAAGAGGCAGATCGTCATGAGAACGATAACGCAAATGACAACAATAACAAATCAAATGCAATAAATACGACAACCACTAAGACAACTGCGACAACCACAACGACCACCACAACAAAGGCACCAACCACGATCACCACCACTGCGCCAAAGGCACCAAGTACTACGACCACAGAGGCGCCAACCACGACGACCACCCGCGCACCGTCGCGTCTGCGAAAAATCGACGGCAGCCGCAGCAGCTCTGCGTGGGTGTGTGCCCCGCTGCTGCTCGCCGCATCCGCGCTGGCGTACATCACTGTGGGCTGAAGAATTGTATGAGGGCTGTGAGTTCCAGCACTCAATCACGGGGATTTGTGCGCGTGTGTTGTGCTGCGATGTAAACAAATAAGAGAAAATAATAATTGTGTTTTGGTTCATTTTCTTCCGCTGCCCTGCTGTGTGCTCCACGTTGCTGCCTCCGTATCCGTCACGTTGAACGCATCGCAGACACACTCATACGCATGGCACGCACACAGCTGTTTGCGTGGACGCGTGTCTGTGTGTGGGTGCATGCACACTGGAGCCATACTGTGCAGCCCTTTTTGTGTGTGTGTTTACATTTTTTACTTTATTGCTGTTTGTTTACCTGTGTTTTGTTTTTAATTGCTTTGTGTGTTTTCTCTGTTTACTTGCTGCGGGGCGTTGTGTGTTGTTGCCCTTTCACTGATTCCAACTGCCTCGTAGTGTGTGTGCGCTGGGCTGCTGCCATTTGTGATGCTGCGTCGTTGTGTGACTTGTCTCTCTTCCCTGGCTCAGCCGGCCACCTCAACGTGGTGCCAGGGTCTAGTACTCTTTGCTAGAGAGGAAGCTAAGCGCCTGCTGCCCATCCGCTGCCCGCGGAGAGGCAGGAGGCGCCGCACAAACGGGTCGGAAGGGCACCAGATGGAGCCATTTACATGGCTGCCCGCGGAGCGGTATTTCTATCCGCTGCTGAATTCCATCGGCGCTTATCAGCGCTATACATACCGTTTGCGTGCCGTATGTGACGCGCAACGACAAAAGCTACTGCTAAGCGGAGACATTGAGCAGAACCCAGGCCCCATAGCAGTACTCCAGATGAACGTTTCTTGCCTCACACCGTCAAAACTCGCAACATTAATGGCGCAAGGAGCAGACATAATAGCCATTCAGGAGACTTGGAAGTCGTCGGAGCAGATCGCCAGCATGCACACTGGAGATTATGTGCTCTATGCACAGTCGCGCATCGGCAAGGGAGGCGGTGTGGCGGTGCTGGTGCGGAAAACTCTCCGCTCCAAGCGTATACCTCTCACCATCCCCCAGCATGACACCAGCCATGAAGTGGTGGTGGTCCAGGTTGCTCTGGACCAGAACCGTGATCTTATTGTAGCGAGTGCCTATATGAGACCACCACCGCAAGTAACGCAATCCTTCAGGCGGTTAGTAAACTGCCTTCCAGCCTCGTCGCCGCTCCTGCTGTGCGGGGATTTCAACATGCATCACCCACAGTGGGAGCCATTCTTGGAGACTTCTCCAAGCGAGGTTGCTGCAGAATTTTTAGAACTGTGCACGGATGCGGGACTCACCTTGGTTAACACCCCTGGTGAGATCACGTATGCCCGTGGCACAAGAGAACGATCCTGTATCGATCTGACATGGTCAAAGCATTTGACTGTGTCGGATTGGTCAGCTTCCGTGTCGCCGCTTAGTGATCATTATATGCTGGCATTTACGCTGCATCAGGCATTTAAGGATACCATACCTTCGGCACCCCCTTCGGCACCTAAGTTTTTCTACAGTTGGGGGAAGTGCAAGTGGGATTTATTCGTCAAGGACTTCGACGCACAACTTCCGGCATACGACTATAAAAAGCAGTCCACCGGCATTAAGGCTTTCACGAGAGCGCTTATAACTTCGTATCGACGACACTGCCCCCGCGGCATGCACAAGGACGGTCCCAGGCTTTGGGACGACACTCTCATGGAGGCAGAGCGGATTGCTACCGACAGCAAGGCCCGCTATCTACAGTCACCGACGCCCGACCGTGAGGCAGAAATGCAACGGACAAGGAGTCAATTCTTCCTCCTGCTCCGAGAGCGCTTGCGCAACACGTATCCACGTCGCATCAGCAAGTTAAATCCAGGCGAGCCACTCGCATGGAAATACGTTTCCGGACGAAAAAAGGCATCACTTCCATCTCCCACATCAATGTTATTAGGAGATGGTCAACACACTTATAAAACAGCAAGGAGAGCAGCGAATGCTCTCAATCGCATCTTTCTTCCATTTCACCCCTCTCACAAGGCAGTTAGGTTTTCCAAAGGCATCAACAGACAGAGTGCATCCTTGAACATTAATGCTTCTTTTCTTTTTGGGCAGCAGAACAACAGCGAGTCTGCTGCCTCACTTACTTCATTTTCTTCTACTTCTTCTAGCTCCGAGCCGCAGAACAACAACGAGTCTGCCGCTACTTCTAGCTTAGTTTCTTCCACCTCTCTTATCTCTTGTATTTCTGAGCCGCAGAACAACAACGAGTCTGCCGCTACATTTACTTCAGGTTCTTCACTCTCATCTAGTTCTGAGCCACAGGATAAAAACGAAGCTGCCACCACATCTGGTTTAGTTGCTCATCTTCACTCCCCTCTTGATGCACCTTTTAATCGTACGGAACTGCTTGCTGCGCTACGTAATACGCCGTATGGCAAGGCCCCCGGACCGGATGAAGTCTACAGTGAGGCACTGCGACATATTTCGTCAAAGGGCCTCCGATTCCTTCTTCGTTGCATTAACCGCAGCTGGACGACCGGTGCGATCCCGGCTGAGTGGAGACGCGCTACCATCGTTCCACTCTTAAAACCCGGTAAGTCGCCGGAACTGCTTGAGTCATATCGACCCATCAGCCTTACCTCCATTGTGAGTAAGGTTGCTGAGAAAATGGTACTGAAGAGATTGCTTTGGGTGTGGACGCCGCACCCCCACCAGTATGCATATCGTAGTATGCATACTACGACGATGCAGCTGGCACACCTGATACACGAAGTGGAGCATAATAGAAATCACTATTTCCAAGTGAGCCTTCCCAAGAAGAGCGGTATTGGCAATCAACTCCACTACAGACCCCATCGGACCCTGCTGGTGCTGGTTGATTTCAGCAAGGCTTTTGACTCCATAGATCATCGAGTCCTCAGTCGCTTGCTGGCTAATATTCCGGGGGTGAATTGTAGAAGGTGGCTTAGAAACTTTCTATGTGGTCGCTACGCGAAGACACGAGTTGGCCACAGACACAGCGATCGGCGTCCCATGCTGCGAGGAGTTCCTCAGGGGTCCGTGCTGGGACCGTATTTGTTCTCCCTTTACGTACACCCACTTCTCAATCTGCTGAACAGCTTTGCGGGTGTCACAGCAGACATGTATGCGGACGACCTCTCTATTATCGTTAAGGGGCAGTCCCGGGAAGACGCCATTCCCACTGCCAACATGGTTCTTCAAAAACTGCATGCGTGGAGTCAGGAAAATGGCCTGGCCATCAACCCGTCAAAGTGTGAAGCCGCTTGGTTCACACTATCCACGCACACGGAGTCAGATTATGATCGTGAAGGAAGGTGGCCCCTGGTAGTGGCTGGATGTCAAATCCCAGTCATGACCATGGGGGCATCGCGAACTACGAAGCTTCTCGGCATGGATCTCGATCCACGACTGACGCTAAATGTGGCGGCCACCAAGCAATGCGCTGCCACTTCGCAACGGATATCGCAGCTACGCTGCATAGCGCACAAAGAGGCGGGACCATCTCCACATGACCTACGCACGTTCGTCATTGGATACGGTGCTTCCAAATTACGCTATGGCAGCGAGCTCATATGGGCAGTAGCGACGGATTCAGCGAAGAATGAGATGCAGAAGACGTACGCAACCCTAGCACGCATTGTCAGCGGAGTTCCGAGCACTGTTGACCCGGAATCCGCGCTACTGGAGGCTAATATGCCGCCGCTCCATGTCCTTTGCCTGCGCGCGCGGCTCTCAATATTTGAGAACACACGCGCATGTCAGATGGACTGGATGCGGAGACCCCCGCCTGAGCCACCGCCTCGCGCAGGTTTCCGCATCTCGCCATTATCTCGGGACGAGCTATATGCCTTCGTAGACGCATACACAAAGGACTATGGCATCACCGAGAGCTCACCACGCGAAGAGCGGTTCTTTCGCAGCTCCATTCCTCCCTGGTTTGCGGCCTCCGCTCACCGGGTCACCATCGGTGTGGAACTTCCGATAGACCTCTCAATAACTGACGAGGAAGAGCTGATAAGGGAAAAGCGCAGAGTCAGCGAAGAGGCTCTGGCGCTGCACAGCCATCGTTCGTGGATACTTGCGACGGATGGCGGTGTCGACGTTCCCAAGTCAGCCGGGGTTGGAATACTGCTTTCATCCCTCAACTCATCGGAGATAATAGAAAAGGCCAGCATAAACTGCGGTGCACGCCAGTGTAGCCGCAGGACGGAATCCCGTGCGCTGCTTCTAGCCCTAGAGAAGCTGATGATCCCTCGTATCCGCCACAGGCGTAAAACCCTGCTTGTGGTTACGGACAGTCAGTCTCTTCTAGCGGCTCTAAACAAGGGCCCGCTCAGTCAGACAGACTGGACGGAGGATCAGATCTGGCAGCGTCTCTTAACACTGACGCGTGCTGGCTGGTCCGTGCACCTGCAGTTTTGTTACGGACATTGCGGAGTACATGCTAACGAGCTTGCAGATCAGTATGCGACGCAGACTATGGAAAGTGGACAATACACGGAGCAAGGAATCGCACATTTATGGCATACGGATCTGCTGGCATGTTTTACTACCCAGCTCACCAACAAGTGGCGTAGTACCATTCGTCAAGACACTCACCGCTACTTGCTTTGCGGCACAAGGCCATCAGATCTCAGCGGTAAGGACCTGATCACTCAGGAAGTTCTACACCGTCAGGAACTGGTTCACCTCGCAAGGGCAAGGTGCGGGGAATCTGAGCTCTGGGGCCGACTATACTGGGCCGTGAGAGATTGCACGAACCAATGCCGATTCTGCAACATCTCACCGGAACAGTCTGCATACATGCGCTCTAACAACGATCCAACTGCACCGGGGACGGACACTGTTCCCCTGCCGGCAAGGGATGAAGACGTCTCTCCAGTAAGGAGACGGACCGTCACACGCCGTCGGAAGGAGAAATGTCCGCACTGTGATTCTACATTGACGGGATTCTCGGGTCTCGTCAGTCACTGTCGGTCATTTCATCCGGAACATCCTCCACCGCTTCCCGAGCTCAAATGTGATTTCTGCGACATGGTTTTCCCCACACGGAGAAGCACCGCACAGCACAGAAGTCGCTGCGCACACAACCCAGACGCCACACGGCATCGGAACAGCAGTGCCAGGAGGCGATCTCTGCTGCCGCAGGATCAGCCAGCTTCCACTAGCACGCCAATTGGCCCGCAGGAAACCTTGCACCATCTGCTTCTAGAATGTCCAGGCACCTTGGCTGTGCGTCAACGGCTGGGCATTGAACAGGACCTTCGCCTCGGAAAGTTCTCTCAATGGCAGTTGCTTCATAGCAGGAAACTCATTTTGCTGCTCGACCACCTCTTCGGCACTCAGATGGCATTGTATAGCTAGACGCGCTGGTAAGAGTAGAAAAAAAAAAAAAAAAAAAAAAAAAACTTGTCTCTCTTCTTACTTCTGCTCTGCGTTGACGTGTTGTTGGTTTGTGCTGAAGGCTACACGCAAGTGACAGGAGTGGTGGCGATGATGATGACTGGCCGTGTGCTGCTGGTGTGTGCCCTCTGCGTGCTGTGGTGCGGTGCCGGCGGTAGATGTGACGAGGTGCTACCTGTTGCCGTTTCATCTGTTATTTCTGCGAGCGGTGTTTCTGGAGCTCCCGACAATGCCAGCGGTCAGACGTCGTCTGGTGTAGCGGGAAACCCTTCCGCAGAGCAAACACAGCTGAATAAGGTTGGGAATTCCGCACCCGGGTCCCCGCAATTGCAAGTTGATTTACAGACTCAATCGCCAACAATACAGCAGACACACTCCGGTGCCGAAAATGCGATTTCATCGACAACTTCAAAACCATCGGGAGAACAGCTGCAAAATGTACCAGACGGAGTTCCTCCAGGGGAACCGGAGGCGTCACTCGGTCAGGAGGAGGGGAAGAATGAAACAATTGCAAATCAACAGAGTAATGGTCCGCCATCTCCTTCAAGTAACAACGATATTGTCAGCCGTAATAGTGGGGAACGCACAGAAGATACTTCGAGGCGTGCTGAAACTCTTGTTGCCGCACCGTCAGAAGAAGCACAACAGCGTGAAAATGTCACTCGTTCCTTGGAACAACCTCGGGAAACTTCCACAGCCGCACCGGCCGTTACAACTCAAACAATTTTCATGACGCTGCCTAAAGACGGTGAAAGCAGCGGCGTCAAAATGAGTGAGGCATCACCTCAATCAGCACGCACCGCTCAAACAAATCATACGACGACACCTGGCGACAGTGACGGCAGCACCGCGGTCTCCCACGCCACCTCCCCTCTTTTGCTTCTTCTTGTTGTTGCGTGTGCGGCTGCGGCTGCGGTGGTGGCCGCGTGAGAGTGAGGGAGAGAGCCGTGCACCGCCCGCTCACACACTCTTCCTTCTCTCTCTGTGTGTGTGTGTCCCCTTGCATGGACTCTCGCCCTCACCTCACCCCACGAGGCACACACAATAATGTGCCCATTGTATATATGCATGCACACCCATGCAGGCCCGTTGGTGCTCTCTTTTGCACGACACGCACCGCTGCCGTCCTGCCTGGCTGCATGGGCGGAGCACCGTAACTGTTTCTGTTTTGTTTTTATTGCATTGAGTGGGCGACCTCTCTCTCTCTCCCTGTGTGTGTGTTTTGCTTTACGGGAGCAATGAGAGTGTGTGCGCTGGTCGTCCCACGCTTCGGCTTTTTTTTATTGTTTTTCTTTTTGATTTTGTGGTTGAGTGCAATCATTCCTCTTTTTTGTTTAATTAGTGACTTGCTTTGACTGCGGACGCTTAAAATTGTTTTTCTGTATTCTTCTGCTGTTTCTTTATTGTTCAGAGAGTGTCAGTCTCTTGTATCCCCGTGACGCCACCAAGTTATTTTCTTTGACATACGCCATGCGTCATTGGATCCACGTTACTCTGCGGCTGGCATCGCTGCTGCAGCTGCTATTGATGATGTCTGCGCTGTGATTTGTCGGCGGGTGTCTTGCTGTCAGCGTGACGCATCCTTCGTTTCTTGACGATTTGTTGCGTACAGACTGCGCGTGGGCGTCTCTGGTGATGGTGAGGGACGCGTGTCTCAGAGCGCAGGATGCGTCGCGGGTGTGCGGCGTCGTTTGTGAGAACCGATGGCTGCCCATCGGCATCCAGGCGTCATCAACGGACTGTGAGGACAGCATAAGGCTCCGCGGCTTCATCTAGTGTTGCACAAAGAATTTATTGGACGGTGCGCTTGTTTTCAATCTTTTGCAACTTTTGTGGGGAAGGTGGGAGGTTGAGGGCATTAGGACTGAATTCATTTGTGTGGCTGCGTTCCGTTGAGTTGCGGCCAGTCGTGGCACTCTTTTGGGGTTTGGCAGCCCGTCCCTTTTGTTTACTTCCCACCGCAGCACGTGGATACCACTGATCCGGGGAACATTTGTCTGACCGCGTGTGAGCTGCTGCCGTGCGTGGTGCATGGACTATGTGATTGTGTGAGGAGGTGCGTTGAGTGACGAATACTTCTGTTTGGCGTGCCGCGGTGTGTCGGAATGATGTTAGGATGAAATGTGGAGGGTGTTGTCTGTGATTTGTGTGTCCTCTCTGGTGGAGCCGACATGTGTGCGGGATTGCGGCATTGCTGGCTGACGGCTCCACGTCACTTTTCAGCATTCCTGGATGTGCTGAGGAATGACGGCTGGCGACCAGCGTGTTGGTGCTGCTGGTGGGAATAAGTACATCGGGAACAGGCCATTTTCTCTTTTCCGTGCTGGAGCCGATGGACTGGCACGAGGGCACCGGCTGCAGGCTGCCTGCCAGCACGTGTGAGCAGCGGATCCATGCACGCACCAACGCTCATCGCAAGAGCGTGTGCGATCACAGTGGCTTTTTGTGGCGTGCTTTTGTGGACGTCAGCCCGTCGAAGAATGGTGTGAAGCAAACGGCTGACTGCACACGAGGAAAATAAGTGCGTGCACTGTGCCGTGTTTCAGCGTCGATGGCAGAGCGGCAGGAGGCCCGTGCTGGCAACTGAGATCTTTGTGTCGCGAGGGATGTCGGTGCTGATTTTGTAATGTCGAGGGTGAAGTGGTTTTGCTGCTGCCCGTGTGTGTGGCCACTCCGGCGGAGGGCGAACACAAAAGGGAGGGATGCAGGCGCTGCGTGTGTATGTGTGCAGGTGCCATGCAACAACGTCACAACAAACATGCTGCGACTCGGTGACCCTCACATCGCTGTGGTCCTCACGAACAGCCCAGGCACCACCCACACCGATGCACTTAGTGGACGGAGTGGGGCATCTTTTGAGGCGCTGCAGGGAGCAGGGTGTGTTGACGCAGCCACGACATGCATGGAGCGTCACGGTGGCGCAGTCAGCTGTGGCTGGTGGAATATTTACTTCTCGGAGGCAACAGAGAGGGAGAGAGAGCTGCTCCTGCTGCTGGCGTCGTTGCTGCCTTTTGTGGCCTCCCATGCCGATTATTGTCTGTCCGCTGATCATGGGTGGCATGCCCCCACTAGCGACGTCGTCTGCAGGCATTTTACAGCAGCAGTGAAACACACATCACGTCGCATGCTTTGGCTGTGGATGTGGTGTTGTGAATGCAGCCGGCATTATTTTGCCCGACTCCTTTTCACTGCTTTGCGGCAAATAGATGCGTCGCCGCCCGAGTCATTCACTGCAGCTCCGTGTGTTGTACTGCCAGCACAAGACTCTCTTGTTGTCTGACGCCTGGCTGACAGTCGAACACCACAGCGTTGGGACATGCAGGGATGCGGACTGCCGCTCACGGTGTTGGGCACCGCTGTTTGGATGCGGCGGCCACACGAGCGGATGTATTGTGGCACAATCAAATGCGTGAAGTACGCGGAATCACGGCGGCTGCAATGATATCAGCGGTGTGGCACCACGGAATACGTGAGGGGGTGATGCATGATGAATCACAGTGGGCGGCCTGCGAGGGAAGTGCACCGCGACGGAGCGTCATCCCGCCCTCAGCCTGCAGGGGAATGTACACCCACAAAATATATGGACGAGACACCACCAAACACACATGCCCTTCCATGCAGCAATAAATAGGAGCGAAGGTGCGTTCTGGTGTGTGGGTGTCCACTCACATATTTTCATTTCCACCGCAATAAACGGTGAGGAATCAGGTGCCACAGCAACGAAGGAGGAAATAAAAACATCTATTGCAGCACTTTACCAGCGAAAGGCAGGAACAGCACAAACCGAACTGTTGGCTGCACCGGCACTCGAAAACTTTAAAATAGGAAAAAATAATGCTGCACCCTGCGGGAACCCCCAACACACGACCCAGGCATGAAGGTTTACCCTCTGCAAGACAAAACAAAATGCATGAAGACATCTGCCAACATCCAAACAGAAACAGAAATAAATAGTTTCCTGCACTCTTCCATTCCTTGCGCTGAATATGAACGAAGGCCATAGGCAACTGAGCTGCTTTGCGATGAATATTGGCTAGCCTTCCCGTGGACCAACAATCCACGTGGTGTGCGGGGACATCTTCTTTTTTTATTGTTACATTCCTTTTGTGTTGCTGTGCGCGCTGCACCTCCTCTTGTGTGTGTGTACCCTCCGTGAGGGATGCCGACACGACGGACCGCTCTCGCCGTATGCACATGCGGTGGAGCCTTGTGTGCCGCTCCTGTTTGCTTCTCCCTCCTCCATCTGTGTGTTGGTGTTGCGGCAGAGGTGTTTGTCGTGCGTGGTGTGCGGCGTACGGTGCATGCCTGGCTGCTGCCCTCTCCTCATGTGGTGTGCCCTCTGTGTGTGTCTGCCGCACCTCTCGTCTCCCCTGTTGCTCTCCATGTCCCTCACTGTGCAGATCAGCTCCACACCACCGAACGACCACACTCACGATGATGACGTGCCGTCTGCTGTGCGCCCTTTTGATGCTCGCCCTGTGCTGCTGCCCTTCGGCGCGAGCGACAGCAGGCAAGGTTAAAACTGAAGAAGAAGTTAACGTACAGGTTACTGTTTCAGAAGTGCCAAATAAGGTCGGTGGGGAACATAATTCAGATACCGATGTTGATGCATTACAGACAGGAAAAGCAGCGTCCGGTGCAGGACAGAATGATAATGGGACGCCTTCCAGTAACTCAGAACCACTAGTTCCGATAATTGATACGATGAAGTCAGAAAGTCCGAAGGATGTTCAGGAGCAGGTAATTGATGGTGTCACTGAGACGGCAAAAGAAGGAAAAGAGAAACCCCTTAATCCAGAAGTAACAGATACATCCGATGCGCAGCAGTCAACAAGTTTGACTGCTGTAAGGAATGTATCAGAGAGCGAGACCACTGCCGCAAATACGACGACCACTACAACCACTACAACGACCACCACCACTTCGCCAGAGGCACCAACTACAACCACCACTGCGCCGGAGGCACCAAGTGATACGGCTATGAATGCAGAGGCGCCAACCACGACGACCACCCGCGCACCGTTACGTCTTCGCGAAGTCGACGGCAGCCTCCGCAGCTCTGCGTGGGTGTGTGCCTCGCTGCTGCTCGCCGTATCCGCGCTGGCGTGTCCTACTGTGAAATAAAGAGGTATGTGTGCGGGCTGTGTGTGCCAGCACTCAGCCGCGGGGGTTTGTGCGCTTTTTTGCTTTATAGCGTAATATGTAATAGAAACCAATGATCTACTTTTGCTTCATTTGCTTTCGCCGCCCTGATGTGTGCTCCATGTTGCTGCTTCCTGTATCCGTGACGTTGAACGCATCCCGAACACACTCACACCACGGAGACAACTGTTTGTGTGGACGCATGTTTTTCTGCTTGTGCATGCACACTGGAGGCTTTTGGTGAAGTTTTTTTGTGTGTTTTTAATTTTTTTACTTTTCTTCTTTTTGCTGTTTTGTTATTAATTGCTTTACGTGTTTTTTTTTCCATGTTTACTTGCTGCGAGGCATTGTTTGTTTTCTTTCATTTTCTCAATGTTTAATTTTATTTATTTTTCCTGTTCTTTTCCCTTTTTTGTCTTGCCCCCCGCCATCCTTCTCATTTTTGCTTTTGGGGGCAATCACTATGGACGTGTTTTCTTTTCTATTCTTCCCTCTTTAATTGTTTGTTGCTGCACTCTTCCTGTGAGGGGTGCCGTGTGTTTCCCGCCCAACTGCTCCACTCGCACACGCACCGACACGCTCATGACGACGGCCCTGTGCGCCTCGCCTGCTGCACGCATGAGGAGGGGCCGCGACGAACGGCGCGCTGAGGGAGCCGTGACGTGTGGGCGTGCGACGAGGGCCTGTGGGGCGGAGCACACATTTCTTCCCTCTTGTTTTGTTTTGTTTGCGGTCAGGGCGGGCAGACACCCGCAGCGCCACACACACAGCCACACCCTGCCGCCGTGTTTTTCTTTGAGGATTTGTTTTGCTTTGCGTGTTTATTTCATGCGGTGGCGCACCCTTCGGTGTCGGCCTCGTGAGCATTTCTCTCCCCTCCGATGATTTCTTTTTCTTTTGCTGCGCTCACTCTCCCGATGGAGTGACGCGACTGCCGTCATGTCTGCGTGCTTCTCTCAGTCCCCACACACACGAGTGACTGTGCTCTGCGGGCCGCACTCACACGCCGATGAGAGGGCTGAGGGGAGCAGCAACACGCAGATGACCCCATGAAATATAAACGATGTGCGGACACACGGAGGGTCGGACGGTCGAAGCACACGCAACCATCTTTTTAATTTTCTTTTGCGGGCAAAATACATACAGACAGTTTGGTGTGGCCACACGGCAGCCAGGCGATTTTTTTCTTATTTTAAATTTGTGTGGAGCAGTAATGGACGATTTCTTTTCATTTATAATTATTTTGTGTGGTGGGGTTTACATAAGACGAAGGGGACTTTTTTTTGTTTTCATAAATATTGTGTGAATTGCCACTGCTTGGGCTGCGGTGCAGTCATGAGTTCGAGCGGTCTTCTTCTTGTTGTTTCCGTTATGCATCCCCGCTGTACATTTTTGTGCGTCTCTCCACATACTCTGCTCCCTCTTTTCTGCGTCTTTGCTTTGTGTTGCTGCAGGCACACACAACCACACACACAAGATGCACATTGCAGTGGATTTGAATGCACCTTTTGTGGTGCATGCTGGAAGTTGCGTGTGACGCCTGTTGTCTTCTTCCGTGGCCATGAGGAGGAGGGAGAGGGAGTGCGCACCTCGAGACTATTTTCCTGCGGGTGTGATGCACCGCGTGTGACTGCGCTGAGTTGGGCTCCGTGTCCCATTGATGGCGGGATGGCAGGAAATTTTGTTGCCGCGTGATGGATGGATGAGGGTTCGCTTGCTCCGTGTGCGTTGCGTGGTGGCCGCGGGTTTTGCCATTTCCCTGGGGCTGCGGGAATGAGCTGGGGGAGATGGTGGTGGATGTCTTCTCCTCCTGCATGGTGGGTGGCTGCTGGCGTTGTGTGCCTTCCTTGCGTGGATGCCGTCTCGTGGTGTGTGAACTTTGCGGCTGGGCCTGCTGCTCTCTCCTCATGTTGCCTGCTCTCTCGCTGTATCCGCTGTGCTCCGTCCCTCTCCCTCTTGTTCCATTCTTTTCCTTCCGCCTCACCGATCAGCTGACTGACACCAGCGACTCCACTACGGGCGATGATGACTGCGATGGTGACGGTGCGGAGCCGTGCTGGTCCTTGCGCTCTTGTGCTGCTGCTGCTCGTCCGTGTGCGTGACGGCGACAGGAGACGATAATAACGATAACAGCCGTCCTCCCAGCCCTGAGCTAGGGAAACCGGATCCTACAAAAACGTGCCTGGTGCATTACAGCCATATGGTGGGGAGACCGGTGTGCCACAGAGAGAGAGTGGGAGAGACAGTGAGGAGGGTTTGAGAATTCAGGACCTTCTTTGCAAAGGAAACAGGCACAGCCATCACTGGACAGACACCAGCTCCGCCAGAGTCACTGAGTTCGGCTAGCGATAATCCAGAGCCACCAGGTTTGGCAACTCAGTCTCCACACACACACACAAGGTGCGGCCGGTATGTCAGATGCACGAAATAAAGGGCGCAGTAAAATACACAAGGCGATGAGACTCATAAGGCACCGACATTAAATCAGAAGATCAAAATGCCAAATACGACAACCAGCACTATCAACACAGAGGCACCAACTACGACAACCACCCGCGCACCGTCACGTCTTCGCGAAATCGACGGCAGCCTCAGCAGCTCTGCGTGGGTGTGTGCCTCGCTGCTGCTTGCCGTATCCGCGCTGGCGTACACCACTGTGGGCTGAAGAGGTGTGTGCGGTCTGTGCGTGCCAGCACTCAGGCACGGGGATTTGTGTGCGTCTACTGTGGTCTGATTTATAAAGTAAGAGTAATTATGATGATTGTGTTTTGCTTCATTTGCTTCCGCTATTCTGCTGTGTGCTCCGCGTTTTGCCCCACACTCGTATGCATTCGCAGCGGAGCCGTACGTGGACACACATTTGAGGATAGGTGCATGCGCACTGGAGTCTTGGGTTTTTTTTACTTTTTTAATTTTTTGCTTGGTTCCTAAACCTTTGGTTTGCACGGCGGTTTGCAAGTTTTGCAATCGTGCTGATTATATCTGTCTTTTGTGGTGTGTTCTCTGCTTCTGCTGTTGCTGCCATTTGTAACTGTACGGTGGCTGTGCGTGGTGTAGCGGGCGTGTCTCTCTTTTTGTTTTCCCATGCTGTTGCAGATTGGCTCTACAGCGTTAGGCGACTCCACTGTTTGTGATGATTTCGTGCCGTGTGCTCTGCGTCCTGTTGGTGCCCTCACTGATGTGCTGCTTCTTGTGCGTGTGTGCGACAGCTGCTGCGACGGAGGTGCGTGTGCTGCCTGCCGGTGATGGCGCGGTGACTGCTGGGCACATGTGGGCAGTGATGGCTGCGGAAAGTGAGCCCGTGGCCGATGGCTCTGGACAAAAGATGAATGTGAACTCTGAGGGCAGTAACACTCAGGAAGACGAGGAGGGTGGAAGAAACAAAGCGGGTGACGGCTCTACCCCCGCGCCCCTTGTTCCGCCCACTCCTCCGACGAGGAAAGATCAATCCAGCACCGATCAGCTGCGAAGTAACACTTCCGATCCTTGTGACGCTGGCAACGCGTCCGATTCCCAGACCCATGCAAGCGGACAGGAGTCTTTGGGCGGAGGGCCTGCTGCAGGCACAACATCCCCACTCCCCAACTCATCTCAGCAGGCAGCAGATGGAGTACATGCTGGAGCTGGGAGTTCCTCCCAGGGCATTCGGGCCTCAGAACAAACCGTCACAGGACAGTCACAGGTGTCAGAGACGGCAAAGGCAGCACCGCAAGGCGATGGAGGAGGAGGACCCGGAGCGCACCAGGAAGCCGAACACACCACAAAAGATGCCGGTGGTAACGCCCTGGGAAAAAACGGCAACGAAAAGGGAGAGCCACCAGCGGGATCGCAAACTGCACCACGACCCAGCAGTGGCGGGAGTGCTAATGTCGCACCGAATCCCGCTGTCTCCATTCCACTGCCCCCAGAGCCAAAGTCAACAAGTGAGGCAACCGGCACGGGAGAATCTCCACATCCGACCGATAATGCACAGACACAAAGTATGAGGACCGATGCTGCACCAAGCACGGCACAGACTCAAAATTCGCCGAACAGTAAAGGACAGGAATCAGAATCAGAAATCACCACAACAGAGGGACCAAGCACTACGGCCAGGAATACAGAGGCGCCAACCACGACGACCACCCGCGCACCGTCACGTCTTCGCGAAATCGACGGCAGCCTCAGCAGCTCTGCGTGGGTGTGTGCCTCGCTGCTGCTTGCCGTATCCGCGCTGGCGTACACCACTGTGAACTAAAGAGGTGTGTATGCGGGCTGTGCGTGCCAGCACTCAATCACGAGTATTTGTGCACTTTTTTGCTTTATAGCGTAATATGTAATAGAAAACAATGATCTACTTGTGCTTCATTTGCTTTCGCTTCCCTGATGTGTGCTCCATGTTGCTGCTTCCTGTATCCGTCACGTTGAACGCATCCCGGACACACTCACACCACGGAGACAACTGTTTGTGTGGACGCATGTTTTTCTGCTTGTGCATGCACACTGGGGGCTTTTGGTGAAGTTTTTTTGTGTGTTTTTAATTTTTTTTACTTTTCTTCTTTTTGCTGTTTTGTTACTACGTGTTTTACGTGTTTTTTTTTCATGTTTACTTGCTGTGGGGCCTTGTTTGTTTTCTTTCATTTTCTCAAGGCTTAATTTTCTTTACGTTTCCTGCTCTTTTCCTTTTTTTGTCTTGCTCCCCCGCCGTCCTTCTCTTTTTTGCCTTCGGGGGGCAATCACTATGGACGTGTTTCTTTTTAGGAGCTTGTGAAAAGAATGATCGCGGGAGAGCTGGCTAACTTAATTAATGTATGTGTATATCCTGATAAATGAATGCATTCTTTATGATACTTTCTACCGTATGAATCTTTTGGGAAGAACGCGACTTTGTAGGGGCAGGGAGCCGATAGAGGCCGGATAATATTTTTAATTTTATTTTTTACAGACACACAGCCAGGTAAGTTTACAGACATGTCTTTGGTCCCCTACACACCCTCCGAGTGGTGTGATATTGGCGCCCGTCTCTGGGAAATGGTGTGCCAATGTGGCGAGACCGAGGTGCAGATGACGTTCATTGATGGTAACCATATGTCGGATGAGACGTTAACTGTGGCCCCATCATCCACAGACTTATGCCTGTTCCATGGACCTGTCTCTAAAGCATGGCAGGATTCTACTCTCGTTGGCCATATTGCGAATCTCCGGGCGCCTCAGATCCCTAATTTTGAGACACACGTGCTCCTGCCCGCTATGGGGGCAGCCCGGGAGTTGGGGCACCAACAAGGGCTCATCACTGCTGAAAGGGAACGCCTGAATATTGATTACGCAAACGCCGTCGCGGACGTGCAGAATCGAAATGCTCAGCTTAACTCGCAGTTTCAGAAGGCGCATCACAACCTATCGGTAAGGGAATCCAATATCGCCGGGGCCGGCAACCAGGTCCTAGAACTACAACAGCAGTTGGAGGCCGCTCGCGCCCAATTACGGGAGCGCGAATTCAACTTGGGAGTCCTCACTGCTCAACTCCAGGAACGGGAGGCACGCCATGATGCAAAACAACCCGCGCGGGATGCGGAGACGGCTGGGCGGGACGAGTCCCCCGCTACTCGACACGTTGCCAACGATGGCGTAACTACAATACCGCATCGAACGGATATCTTGATGGCTGGAGGCGTGCCTAGCAGCGCGGCCCGACACAGCTCGGCGGCTTACAGACGCCCTCACGGTAATGCTGCGAGACCACATTTCCACCTCTCCACGCCGTTGCCCTCCCGCACTTCTCCCCTGGACGCCCAATCACCCATGGAAGAGGACCGCAGTTTCTGCGCATTCGACGTCACTACGTGGCCCTCGCGTGTATGGAATGAGGGCGCCTCCGGAGTCGTTATCGATCTCCGGTGCACACACCAATACCGGCAACAGGACGACGAGCAGGTTAAACTTGCCTTTGACAATTTGGTCGAGTGGATCGGCGCGCTGGAAGGCCTGCAGGATCCCACCGATCGCTTCATGAACTTGGGGAGGTCCCTACTGAATACATTCCGGATGCAGCTCACGATGTCATCCGATCCCGTCATCCGGCCTTCCAAACTGCGCGCCCGTCTACACACTGCTGTTCACCAGACGGACGCTTATGCGAGGGCTGCCCAGATTTTCGTCGATCAGCGAGAAACACAGCGCCCTGTGCGATGCCAACGTTGCTATATCTTTGGACACGAGGCATCTACATGCAATGTGCGCCCGAGAGGGAATTACTTACAACACAGGCATCCGTCAAAAAACGGCAGAGGAGCTGCACGCCGCTCATGAATGCTGGCGACGGGAGCCCCATCCAACCCGCCACCTCCCATCAATCCTCACAGGCGTCGCACCGCACCGCCGATGCTCCACCCTATATTTCAAATTGCCCGACGCAATCGTCGGGAAGGGCGATGGAGCTTATCTGCCAACGACACTTGACTGTGGTACGACGAAGCACCGGCAGTTCCGCTTTGGGCCAGTTATATGAGGAAAGCGAACGAGGTCGCTCGAGAGATGTGCGCGCCGTCAAAGTGGGAGCAGAGAATGTCCCTAGCGGGGCAATTCACGACTTTTTGCCGCACGCGCGAACAGCCGATGAACGAGAAGAGCTGCGCGGTTTTTTTGATGGCAATTGAAGTAGCACCCTCGACCCGACGGCAGCACGCCAGGATGCTGCGGTCCATGTTGGAAATGGAACGAACCCCGCTGGACATGATGATTTTGAGGTTACAAAAAATTGCGGCGCGATCGGAGACGAAGCAAGCGCGCCCCTTGACAAAGGAAGAGATGCATCAAGTAATCCGCAGCCGGACCGATTGGAAGGAACGTGTTGTATTACGACTCGCGTGGATAACGGCGAGCCGTTGTTCCGAGATCGCGTCCTTGACAGCCAAAAATTCCACACTGGAGCCGGACGGGACCATAATTTTGGATCGGACCGTGGCGCCAAAGACGGCGAGAGCGGATCCCCACCGCGCCTCGCGGTTCGTGAGGGTACGAGGGCAGGACGTGTTAGACATTATAAAGTTATGCAGGACACTTCAAGAAAACGAAAAGCTCACGAATATTACTAATGCCAAACTCGAACGAGCTTTGGTTCCTTGGGATGCCACAGCGCATTCCATAAAACGGGGTGCGTTGAGACACGCTGCTCAAATCGTGGAGGCGTACAATTTGGATCCACACGTGATCTCGCGGTTGGCGAAGCACGTCGACCCGTTCGACCTTCCCCAGAATACTGTTCGATATTTGTGGAGGTACACCACAATGCTGACCCAGGTGTCGTCGCTGGTCGCATTGATGTGAAGGGAGAAACTGTGGAAGGGCAGGAACCCTGGTTGAGAGCAGAGGAACGTTTTTTCCATGATTTTTATCACAATCATGCCGCTACAATGACGAGACGCGCGACAAGGACGCGCCTGGCCACTCCACAAGATGAACACGCTATCCCGTTACAGCAGGTCAACGTGCCCGTGTTGAACCTAGAGTGGATTAAAAGTCGGTTGAACCCGGCCACCCTGGAGAGGCTCATGCAAGTTTGGGACTCGTCGGGCGGTCCACTCTCCCCCCGTCTTCCTCCGGTAAAGCGCGCGAAGGCTCACGGAGGATTCCAACCGCTGACGCGAGATTGTTGCGAAAAGCTGGAATAATCGAGGACGTTTCGTCCACAGTAACAGGCGGATGGATAATACCCTTCTCGGTTGTGGAGGAGAAAACCACCGGTTTACGACGACGATGGATCGCGTGGCCACGCGACAAGAACAGAGACGACCCTTACGAGGCTAATGTTCCTCTTTTGCACATTTCCCATTATTTGCCACCTGTGATGGCTGAGGCCGCTTCCTGCCTGGATGCAAAGGCATCCTTTTTTCAAGTCTTTACCGCGGGAGGATCGGCATCTCTTTTGATGCCGCGTGGAGGACGGCACGCTGGTGGAGCTCACACGGCTCCCTATGGGATACAAGGCCGGCCCAGAAATTCTCCAGATTATTACTTCAGCAATTGCGGGGGTGACGACGGTGGCTCACCGCCTCTGGGCCGCACCTCCATTGGTGCGTGTCGACGTATGGATCGATGATATAAGCATAGCAGGGTCAAATAGCGATGTGACATTGTGGGAGGCCCAAGTGCTTCGTAATGCGGACAGTTGTCACGCCACGATAGGGAGGACCACGAATCGGGTGCTACGCAGTACACCTTCCTGTGTGTGTAATTTGATCACACTCACCGGGCGGTATCCCTGAGTGACGAGTTTTTCCGGTCTGTATGCGCCATGCCGGCACTCAATTCTTCAACCATCGCGGAAATGGAGGTTGTGGCGTCACGGTTTTTGTACGCGGCTGCCATTTTGTGCACGCGTTTATTTGACTACTACTTTTTTATCAAGGCAGTGCGACGACGATTATCGGCACTTCACCAAGGGATTGTGCGGGAGACATCCCCGGCAAACCTTCCGCCGGCAGCGGTTGGCTCGGGCGAGAGATTGCGACACACATCGAGAACAATCGTAAGCGAATCATCAATCCCACGAAAAGGCATTGGCCGCCATCATCACGGACTCATCGCTCCGTGGTTGGGGAGCCGTTTTTATTCCAGACTCCGGCGACGTTAAAATTGCCGGGGGAAATGGGAGAGGAAGTCTTTTCTTATGATGCAAGCTGAGGCACGCGGTACGCTTGGCCTTATCGGCCTTTTCCGCCATCTTGCCATCCACTATGGACGTTGGGGCGCACAATACTTCGCTGCAAGGAGCGGCGAATAAAGGCGGCTCGAAATCACACGCCATGACGTGGGAGCTGCGACGGATATATGAGTTTTTGGCTCTCGCGGAATACAGGCAACTTTTGCCTACGTACGGTCTGCAGAAAAACCCGTAGACGGCATATCACGCGGTCGTGTGTTCACACTTCGGAAATTGCGAAGGGGAGCGGCGGGGTCTTGTGGCTGGAGGACCCCAAAGTCTGCCACTTCGTAAGTAATAATATTTCAAATCCTAACTGAGTGCAAGGGACCATGCTGGTGGTCCACAGAATTCTATATATTGAATGAGAATAAAACATTGAAGCAATTAACTAACGAACCTTTTTCCTTACTTGTTTGGTTTCCATAGATTTTCAGGACCCGTCCAGCTGCCCGGAAGATTATTCTTCTTTTTAAACCTCTGGTTTGCACGGCGGTGTGCAAGTTTTGCAATCGTGCTGATTATATCTGTCTTTTGTGGTGTGTTCTCTGCGTCTGCTGTTGCTGCCATTTGTAACTGTACGGTGGCTGTGCGTGGTGTAGCGGCTGTCTCTCCTTTTGCTTTCACTATCTGTTGACGTGTTGTTAGTTTGTGCTGAAGGCTACACGCAAGTGACAGGAGTGATGGCGATGATGATGACTGGCCGTGTGCTGCTGGTGTGTGCCCTCTGCGTGCTGTGGTGCGGTGCCTGCTGTGGTGGATGTTCTGAAATCCCTCCAGCTCCTGAGACTGGTGTATCCGACGATGGCAAGGATTCTAAAATTGAAAACAAGAGCGTTGTTAGCGTTGGAGAAGATGACCAAACCGGTAAGCCGCGAGTGTCCGAAACAGCGGCACCATTGGTACCAGAGGTACCGGTAGCGGGAGTGACACAAACACAGGGAGCACAAGCATCAGGGACGATGGAACAAAACAAGAAGAAAACGAATGAAAACGATGAAGAGGAAGAGGAATCAGAGGAAGAAGCAGAGGATGAGGCTGGGGAATACAAAGGGAATGAAATGAAGGAAAAGGAGGAGGATAGTAAAGAAGCTGTCACCAGCACCACAATGGGGATACCAGCAGACGGTCAAGAGCAACAAATTTTATCTTCTGGCGCGGAGGGAGCATCGAATATAACAAATCCCAACAGCACACAAACAACTGGAGACGGTGATCCAGCAGCCGATGGTGCAGGGACGGCAGAGGGAAAACAAAATGAAAATAAAGATGCCAATCCGAAGGAAACACCAGTCGAAGCCACAGCCACGAAAACTACAACGGTGACGACTGGCGACAGTGACGGCAGCACCGCGGTCTCCCACACCACCTCCCCTCTTTTGCTTCTTCTTCTTGTTGCTTGTGCGGCTGCGGTGGTGGCCGTGTGAGAGTGAGTGTGAGAGAGCCGTGCACCGCCCGCACACACACTCTTCCTTCTCTCTCTGTGTGTGTGTCCCCTTGCATGGACTCTCGCCCTCACCTCACCCCACGAGGCACACACAATAATGTGCCCATTGTATATATGCATGCACACCCATGCAGGCCCGTTGGTGCTCTCTTTTGCACGACACGCACCTCTGCCGTCCTGCCTGGCTGCATGGGCGGAGCACCGTAACTGTTTCTGTTTTGTTTTTATTGCATTGAGTGGGCGACCTCTCTCTCTCTCTCCCTGTGTGTGTGTTTTGCTTTACGGGAGTAATGAGTGTGTGTGCGCTGGTCGTCCCACGCCTCGGCTTTTCGTTTTGTTTTCCTTTTTGATTTTGTGGTTGAGTGCGCCCATTCCGCGGCTGCGTGTGTGTGTGTGTGTGTGTGTGGTGATATGAGTAATTTGCGTGTGTGCTATCTGCCTCTCCCTGCCGTTGCTTTCTTCAGACTCTCTTGTGGCGTGCAGATGCTCTGCAAGTATAGGCGCTGCCAAACACACACACATGCACATGCACATGCCATTTCTCACACAATTTGGCTGCGGTGCGTCTTGCGGAGAGGGAGGGCGTGAGCTCGCCGTGTGACCCTTGGACTTGCTACGGTTGTGGTGTTGGCGAAGTACAGCAGTTGACTGATGTGATGTGTCATTGAGGGTGCCTGGGATAAATGAGCATGGATTCTTGCCCAGCAGCTGCACGTGCCGAAGTGTTCCTCCCGCTGTTCATGCACCCACGAAGGATTCTCCGGCTGTGCGGGACGATGTGCGATGGATGGTGCGGGGAGAGACAACAGTGAAACGGCTGGCGGCAGTGCGTGTGGGCGTTGTTCATCGTGTGCTGACGTGTGGCGGAAGCACACGATAGCCGCTGTGGCTTTTACTGCTGGTGGCAGTCGATGTGTGTTCCCGGTGCACTGTTCTTCCTTCTTATTCCGTGTGTCTGTGTGCGTGAGTTGTTGTTGTTGGGAGTGACTGCGGTGGGGATGATGGTGCCACTAACTGTGGAGGGGCGGCGGTGTTCACAGTTTCACTCCCTTTTCCTCTTCTCTCTCTTTCTCACACACAAAGAAGGAAGGGAAGTAAGGCTAAACGCGAATCGCTACTGTGAAATTCGAAGGCCCTGAAAGGACCAACAGCACACACACCGCCCACACAAACATATTTATATGCTCTCACGTGTTGCTGCAGTGATGGCACCCCGCACACACAACCGTCGCCGCGTGACCGGCTCCAGCGGCAGGAGGAGGGAAGGGAGAGAGAGTGAGCCGCAGAGGCGCAACATGTCCCGGCATCTCTTCTACTCTGCGGTGCTGCTCCTCCTCGTCGTGATTTCGTGCTGCAACGCTGGTGGTGCTGCGCAAGCTGAGGAGCAGGCATCTGAACGAAATTATAAATGGAAGGACGTCAAGAATGAGAAGGATGAGGGTGTAACTGTGGAATCGTTGGTAGTTCCCGGCCTTTTAAACGTGGGGAGTGACGTGTTTGCCGTTGCCGAAGCGCAGTGGAAGAAGAACAGTGAAAGCAACGCTTTTACTGGCATTGCATCCCAACTTCTCACGACACAAAATGCTGACACACCGGTGGAAGTATTAAAGGGAGCCGAAGATAAGACACAATTTCTGGAGGAAGCTACTTCCGCAGACCCAAAGAATAAGGTGGATGTGAGCCGACCAACAACAGTCGTGAAGGGAAATGTTATTTACATGCTTGTTGGGAAATACAGCCCGAAAGATGCCACTGGTCAGGAGGATGGCGGAGCAAATGACGGGGGATTGTTGCTGGTGAAAGGGGAAGTCAGTGCTGACGAAAGCAAACGAATCAAATGGAAAGATAATGACGATGTCTCGCGTATTTCTGTTGGCGAACTAGATTCCTGGACAGGGTTGATTGGTGGCGGTGGATCGGGTGTTCTTACGGATGACGGTAGGCTCATGTTCCCAGTGGAAGGCACAAAGAAGGGTGACACTGAAAACGATGTGAAAACCGTTTCGCTAATTATACACAACTCGAAGGACACTAATGAGGGTTGGAAGCTGTCGAAGGAGGTTCCTTACGATGGCTGCAGTGATCCCTCCGTCGTGGAGTGGGGAGAGAAGGACAAAAAACTCATCATGATGACTGCGTGTGGTGATGGCCGCCGCAGGGTGTACGAGTCCGCTGACAAGGGGGAGTCGTGGACGGAGGCACTCGGGACACTCTCGCGCGTGTGGGGCAACAAACAGGGCGAAGGAGCGAAGGCCGTTAGAAGCGGGTTTATCACAGCAAAGATTGGCGGTGTCGATAACAGAAATGTGATGCTCGTCACTCTGCCGGTTTATCCCGAGAAGGACGGTAAAAAAGAAAACGGTGAACTCCATCTTTGGCTGACGGACAATACGCACATTGTTGATATTGGGCCGGTATCCTGTGAAGATGACGCTGCCGCCAGCTCCCTGTTGTACAAAAGTGCTGGAAGTGGTGATAACAAGGAGGAGTTGATTGCACTTTACGAGAAGAAGAAGGACTATGGGAAACCATCACTCGGTATGGTCTGTGCCTCTGACTGCGCAGCTGCAGCGTGTGAAGGATGTGCTGGCGACGTGGAAGGAAGTGGACGGCCGTGTCTCCAAGCTGTGCCCCTCAAGTGCTGAGAAGGATGGCTCCCCTGAAGATGCCTGCAGCACTACTGTTAAGATCACGGATGGGCTGGTTGGCTTTCTGTCCGGCAACTTCTCTGATAACACATGGAGGGACGAGTACCTCGGGGTGAACGCCACAGTGAAGGGGAATGATGATGGGGGTAAGAAGGCAACATTGCATGAAGGCAGTGTGACGTTCCAGGGAGCGTGGGCGGAGTGGCCCGTTGGCAAGCAGGGGGGTAATCAGCTGTACCACTTTGCGAACTACAACTTCACTCTTGTGGCGACGGTGTCCATCGGCGGTGTGCCGGAGGGTAATATTCCTTTGATGGGTGCGCGTTGGGGAGGCCAAGGAGAAAACAAAGTTTTTGGACTTTCGTACGACAGCGAAAATAAGCGGATAGTGTTCTGCGGTGGCGGACAGAACAAGGAGCTCAGCAGTAATTGGGAGCCAGAGAAAACACATCAATTGGCCATTGTGTTACAGAGCGGCACCCAGGGCTCCGCGTACGTCGATGGTAAAAGTGTGGGTGGGAATGAGCAATTTGATTTGAAGGATATTGAAAGATCTAGAGGGATCTCTCACTTCTACATTGGAGGGGATACAGGCAGCACAGAAGGCCAAGAAGGCTTTTCCGTGACTGTGACGAACGTCCTGCTGTACAACCGTCCTTTGGATGACGATGAAATTGCAGGGCTCGCCAAAAATAAAATTACGAATCCGAAGCGGGAAGGTCCGAAGGCATCGGCGACATCTCCTCTTTCACCAGAGGTAAGTGGATCAGATGTGCAGGGAACCGTGCCCCTGTCCAATTCTGCCAGGCAACCACCGTCGGAGCAGGGACAGCCGAAAGGGAGTATTGCTACCGGAGCTGGCGGCGCATCCACACCAGCGACGTCTACCGCCGCAGCTTCTTCAGGACAGGAGCCCGTAAACCAGCTGACATCTGGAACCTCTCCCAGTGGAAACAAAAATGCGGATGGCACTCCCTCGCCTGACACCGACCCAACGGTGGTGACAGTAACATCCCCCGATGGAGGTCAAACCGTGGATGGCGGCTCTACTGCTGACAGCGAGCCAACGACGGACACAAGAGAGGGAGGAACGAATGGGCAGGAGGAGGAGGTTAATACACAGGCCGGGGAAGTAAATGCTACGGCACTCAGCAGTCTCGGAAATGTGTCGCAGAGGAATAACAGCGATGCCGGCACTGTGTGTGGGAGCGGACTGCTGCCGCTGCTTCTTCTGTTGGGACTGTGGGTGTTTGCGGCTCTGTGAGGAGTGACTGGCTGCCGCGTGGGACACTTGCGACCTCCCTGCAGAGAAATACACGCGATAATGAATTTTCCTTCTCAAATAACCTTTTTTTGCTTTTCTCTCTGTTTGCTTTTTTGTGTGTTTTGTTTTTACTTTTTTTAAATTTTTTGTGTTTGCTTTTGGGGCAATCACTATGGACGTTTTTTTTCTTTTCTACTCTTCCCTCTTTAATTGTTTGTTGCTGCACTCTTCCTGCGAGGGGTGCCGTGTGTTTCCCGCCCAACTGCTCCACTCGCACACCACCGACACGCTCATGACGACGGCCCTGTGCGCCTCGCCTGCTGCACGCATGAGGAGGGGCCGCGACGAACGGCGCGCTGCGGGAGCCGTGACGTGTGGGCGTGCGACGAGGGCCTGTGGGGCGGAGCACACATTTCTTCCCTCTTGTTTTGTTTTCTTGCGGCCAGGGCGGGCAGACACCCGCAGCGCCACACACACAGCCACACCCTGCCGCCGTGTTTTTCTTTAAGGATTTGTTTTGCTTTGCGTGTTTATTTCATGCGGTGGCGCACCCTTCGGTGTCGGCCTCGTGAGCATTTCTCTCCCCTCCGATGATTTCTTTTCTTTTGCTGCGCTCACTCTCCCGATGGAGTGACGCGACTGCCGTCATGTCTGCGTGCTTCTCTCAGTCCCCCCACACACGAGTGACTGTGCTCTGCGGGCCGCACTCACACGCCGATGAGAGGGCTGAGGGGAGCAGCAACACGCAGATGACCCCATGAAATATAAACGATGTGCGGACACACGGAGGGTCGGACGGTCGAAGCACACGCAACCATCTTTTTAATTTTCTTTTGTGGGCAAAATACATGCAGACAGTTTGGTGTGGCCACACGGCAGCCAGGCGATTTTTTTCTTATTTTAAATTTGTGTGGAGCAGTAATGGACGATTTCTTTTCATTTATAATTATTTTGTGTGATGGGGTTTACATAAGACGAAGGGGACGTTTTTTTTCTTTTTTTTTTAATTTTTTATTAATTGGGTGTGGCCGTAATAAAGGACGACATTTTTCATTTTCTTTTTCTTTT